GACACCTTGGGGACATCAGGGACCATCCTGGGGACACCTTGGGGACATCGGGGACCATCCTGGGGACAGCAGGGACCATCCTGGGGACACCTTGGGGACATCGGGGACCATCCTGGGGACACCTTGGGGACATCAGGGACCATCCTGGGGACATCAGGGGACATCAGGGATGTTCCCACGCTTCCAGCGGTGACAAAAATCCCCCGACGTCAAACAGCGACAGAATTGAGGAAGTGCCAGCCGTGCCACCCCCCCCGAGTGCCACCCCCCCGAGTGCCACCAGCACCCCGCGATGGCCTCGGGAGCCACCCCCGGGCAGTGACAGGGAGGTGACACAGCCCCGTCACGAGCTGGGGGTCGGAAATGGGGCCGGGGGCAGAAAATGGGGCTGGGGGCTCAAAACTGAGCCCCTCCCCCCGGTTTGAGACCCCTCCCCCGAGTGACCGCGGTGGCACCTGGGGACAACGGGGACCGGAGGGACAGAGGGGTGGGAAAATCGGCCCGGGATGGGGCGGGAGCGACCGGAGCCCACCCCGGGATGGGACCGGAGGGGTCGGAGCCCACCCGGGATGGGACCGGAGGGGTCGGAGGGGTCGGAGCCCACCCGGGGATGGGGTCGGAGGGGTCGGAGGGGTCGGATCCCACCCGGGATGGGACCGGAGGGGTCGGAGCCCACCCGGGATGGGACCGGAGGGGTCAGAGGGACCTGAGCCCACCCCGGGATGGGACCGGAGGGGTCGGAGGGACCGGAGCCCAACCTGAGATGGGGTCGGAGGGGTCGGAGCCCACCCGGGATGGGGTCGGAGGGGTCGGAACCCACCCGGGATGGGGTCGGAGGGATCGGAGGGACCGGAGCCCACCCTGGATGGGACCGGAGGGGTCGGAGGGACCGGAGCCCAACCTGAGATGGGGTCGGAGGGACCGGAGCCCACCCGGGATGGAACCGGAGGGGTCGGAGCCCACCCGGGGATGGGGTCGGAGGGGACCGGAGCCCACCCGGGATGGGGTCGGAAGGACCGGAGGAGTCGGATCCCACCCCGGGATGGGGTCGGAGGGGTCAGAGCCCACCCAGGGATGGAACCGGAGGGGTCGGAGGGACCGGAGGGGTCGGAGGAGTCGGAGCCCACCCCGAGAAGGGGCCGGGATGGGGTCGGAGCCCACCCGGGATGGGACCGGAGGGACCGGATCCCACCCGGGGATGGGACCGGAGGGGTCGGAGCCCACCCGGGATGGGACCGGAGGGGTCGGAGCCCACCCGGGATGGGGTCGGAGGGGTCGGAGGGACCGGAGCCCACCCCGGGATGGGGTCGGAGGGGTCGGAGGGACCGGAGCCCACCCCGGGATGGGGTCGGAGGGGTCGGAGCCCACCCGGGATGGGATCGGAGGGGTCGGATCCCACCCCGGGATGGAACCGGAGGGGTCGGAGCCCACCCGGGATGGGGTCGGAGGGGTCGGAGCCCACCCGGGGAGGGGTCGGAGGGGTCGGAGGGGTCGGAGCCCACCCGGGATGGGACCGGAGGGGTCGGAACCCACCCGGGATGGGACCGGAGGGGTCGGA